GTTGAACTAATTATCAACAAAACAAACGGTGTATACAATAGATAGATTAATTTAGTGGTAGCTGGTTTGTTTGCTAACTTCACCAGAGGAAAACAACAGAAAAAGGAATATCGAAGTTATGTGACATTTCGACCGGTTAACGTGTCATACAGTCAGGAATACAGATTACGAGAAAAATACGTGTCTACTTAAAAGTTAAAACAGTTGTCTTTAGATTTTAACATGGAGATACCTTTGGTCTCTCACTATATTGATAAAAAATTTCTCGTTCACACTAGCAGATATACAGAGAATAAAATAAAGTAATATTTCTGCATTATCAATGAATATTAAAAAATCAAGTAAAGTAAAGGTTTTTTTTTTTTTTTTTTTTTTAAAAAACGAAAAAAAGGGGCATTGCTAAATGCATATATATATATATATATACCTTGACAGGCCTTTCGAAGGGCTTCGGCATCTTCAACAGCAGAAGGGTGGTCCAGAGGAGTAATGAGGGTTGCCATCACCTGAAAATTAAATACAAAGATCCCACTGTGACTCTGAAAAAAACTTGTTAGTATCAGCCTCATATTTATAGGAATTAGAAAACCCAACGTTGAAGATAATTGCCAACTCATGTTTGCAACTTAATTCATCATTCTCGTGACCACTTAAACAACTAAAAAGAATTCATAATTTGGTTTATTTCAGGAGAAAAGGAGATTAACGTGGTAGCTGATGTCGTGTTGTGCTTGCATATATATATATATATATATATGGTGCAAAGTGCCAGGGATTCTCCTGCCACCCTGTTTGCCGTTACCATTCAGCCTTTTCTTCTTCAGTTTCTGTCTTCTTTATTTTTTGTTTCAGCTGGCATGCCATTCTTTTCTTGCTTTTTTAGCTTTAAACTAGCTGGACGACCCCGCGTTGCGGGATGTGGTACTGGGTCCAACCTTACGTGGTGTGGTGATTTTGGATTTGGGTCTGGCCTATTCACAGACAATCATAATAAGGCCATTATCAGGCCGGGTAAAAAACACACAGAGACGGAAATCAGATCCAGACCTGACCTTGGGCTAAGACAAACCCATTAATTGTCAAATTTTGGGCTGATGAAATCCGGACGGGCTTGACAGTGGACTAAATTAAACCAATTAAAACAAAAAGGTCCATTATAGGCCCGCGTAAAAGAAGCAAGGAATCTGAATCTATAAACTAAAGACAGAAAACTCAGAGTTGTGTCTTCGTGTCAGTTAAAGATTGCAATTTTACCTGGTCAAAATAAATCTCTGGTTTCTTCCGCAAAGCCAAAGCGGCGGTGGGTGGAGAAATGGAGATGGAGGGGGAGGAGGAGGAGCAGAAGCAACAGCAAGGCAAGAGCGGCTGCTCAAAAAAGTTGAGAAGAGGCACTTACAAGTTATCTACATCTTCGGCTCCCATCAATAACCTCGATGATGGCTGCCTTATGCACATCTTCAGCTTCTTATCTCCCATTCCAGGTTCCTTCTTCATCCCCTCCTCCTCTCTTCTTCTCATACCATGTGGGCATATGAAATTTTGCTTCTTGCTGCTGTAAATCTATCTTCTTTTTTCCAAAATCTTTTTTTTTTTTTCCTGTCTCTTTTTTGTAGATTGATTTTCGTTATATTTATTGTCTATTTCCTTTCATTCTGTATTTCTTTTTGTGAATTTCAACCGTATTTATGCAGAAGATGAATATTCAATATGGTGGTGTGTAGATTGATGTTTTCCTTTTGCCTAATTAGTCTTCCCCAGTTGTTCTATTTTGTTGGTCTTTTAAAATTTAGGTCACATTTCAATTCGGAGTGCTTGAATTTGGATTTGGACTTCGTTTTTAAATATTTGAAATCAAAAATTCACTGCCTTTTGCTATATCCCATTTTCCTACGGTAGTAGCTTCACTTGGCAAACAAGGAGTTAAGTCCAATAGGGTCAGAAGATAAAGCATGCCAATTAGCTTAGTTTGCAATTGTATAAATCATATATTTTTCCTCTTTGATAAGTGATAACTTATTGTGAGGAGTTGTTACTTTGGATAGGATATTATTACACATAGTTGCATCAAAGCTTCCAGTAGCCGTGACCATTATCATGTAATTTTGTGCGTTATCTTTCACAATTGCTATTGAGCTTGCAGATCGGTATAACACCGCCCTCGTTTGCCACAGATGGCGTTATTTGGCATGTCACCCTCAATTGTGGCTGCGAGTGGACCGATCTGTCCAGGATCTCTCTGAACCAGGGGTTTTTCCAAATATTGAAGCAGCCGTATCAGCAGCAAGGTATTAAGATATTCATACTTGTGATTATTGGTTCGTATCTCAAGCTTCTATAAAATAATTACAATATATTTTTTTTTTTTAGACCTGGGGACACCATTTTAATTGCAGCTGGCGGGAAGCATCTTGCCTCTAACATTCAGATAAAAAAGCCACTCTGCCTGGTATGTACTGAGTGCCTTTATCTCAAAATGTTGTTTTTGCATTGGTTGTTGGCACATAGGCTCATGCACAGACAATGTCTTTTGAAAAGACTGCATTAGTTTTAAGGAGTTATAAGATATGGTTCGATTGATCAAAATGGTTTCTTTGCACATTTCCTCTAGTTCTATCTACTCTATGGCATGATGAGGTTAATCAGTGTCATAAATGCCTTCTCATAAAACCAAGTTAGAAACAGCAAACCACATTTTAGGCTGCCATCTTTCTCCAATCAATATATAATAGTAGAAGGAGAACGAACTTCAATTGTAGTAGAAGTTTCTGTTTAATCCCTTTCTCCTTTTGTTCAGATTGGTGGAGGTGAACTTCCTGATGATACAACTCTTATCTGTTCTCGAGGCTCAGACAGGTATGTAAAGTCTCCTTTAACTTTTGCCTCACACTATTATTCTCTCTTGAAAAATGATTTACTGAGCCAGCTCCATATTGTTGGTTTATTAGTATTATTATTTTAAATTTAGCTATTTAGCCATTTAGCTAAAGGGCTCCATGGTCCAATTTGCTTTGGGCACTTTGTACATGATGATTTTTGGAGAAAATGAGCTAAGTTTGCTTATTTTAACATGCATTCTGTGTTTTTGCAATGTGGGATGCATGCTTTTGGCTGGATAACCAAGGATTGTAATGAAATAAAAAGCACAATTTATCTGCATTACCCAATAGTCTGGAGTTGGTTCCAAAAATCACCACTATATTTTCCATTAAAAAAAAAAAGGCCTACCATTTGGTCATTTTCGTTGAGCAGTGCATTAGAATTCCTATCCACCTGCAAGTTGGCAAATTTAACAGTAAGAACAGAGCTTGGATGCTGCTTACTTCATAGGAGTGGAAGGCTAATTATAGATGGGTGCATACTTCAGTGTGAATCAAACCCTCTGGACTACTTGTCATGCCCCCTTGTGAGTACAGCCAGCAGCCAGGTGAAGAGCCATGGGGATAGCGTGTCGGTTTATCACACCCGGATTGAAGGAGGTGCCAAGGCTGTTTTGACCAGTGGAGACCTCGCATTGCAGCGAGTTCGGGTCCTTTATGCTCGAACTTCGCTTTATTTCTGGTTTGATGTAGATTGTAAGTAGGAAGAGGATGTTATCAACCTCAGCTTGTCTGTAAACGTAACATTTGTCTTAGAACATACTACTGTAAAATTAATTGTTATTCAGCATTTAGGGGTTCAATTTGTTTTAGAAACATATTACTGCAAAATTAATTCTTGTGATATTTCAAAAGCTTAATGTAGCCTGATCTGGTTTCAGTACTTTTGTGTCACTTAAATATTTGCAAGATACAATAACAAAGGAGGTTGAACCCAAGATGATTAAGTTCAAATCCATGTTTATTAAGATGCAAGAACAAAATTACTTTGGAAACATTTAAAGTTTTCGAGCAAGATACAAATTCGGAAATGGTTATCATCTCCTGGTACCTGCTATACCATCAATGTTCCATCTAGATGCAATACAAAAATTAGGTATGACTAGCTTATTAGTACAGAGTAGGGTGACTAAATTCATGCCGCTACAAAAATTAAATTACCTTACATTCATTTCCTTACTCCCCAAAGCCCCTCTACTGCATAAATGTAAAATTGGCTTCCTCTGTTTCTCTAAATTCTATTAAGTTGATTTCACAAACTCTGATCATCATTGCATGGTGTCCTCCAACACGGTAGTCAAGACAAATCCACATCTATTTGAATCCATTTATCCATTCAAAAAGCTTTCAAATAGTCTCACAAAATCTAAAAACGGAACAAAATAAAAATGTTTGATCAGGATTTCCAATAATGCACCAAGTCAGTAAAAATTACGAGCAACCAGCCCCCTTAAATGGAAACTTACTGAATATAACGGACAAGAAAGCAGATTACTTTGAGGTTAATTCCCTGGAGTGGGTCTTCGTTGAACTACCAAATCATCAGCCGAGTAATAATCTGCAATGAGCCGATACATATATGATGGATTATGCCCTCCTCTGCAAAAGAGCGAGTGATCAGCAATTGCAGGAATAGAAAACTGAAGGGAGGAGAAAGACAGAACCAATGCACCACCATATCAAGGACCCAACAGCACACAAGGAAGGAAAACACCAGTTCTTACAACAAATTTGATAGGTGGGAAGATATTGTAAAACAAGAATATATAAATTCAAACACATACGATGGAAGTGTTAGATCTCTCAATTTCTATGCAGTCTAAATAACTGTTTATAAAGGTAGCTGAACTTACGTGTCTGTAATAAAGAGACTAACGAGCTTTGGTGGAACATAATCAAATGTTGGATTGACAACATGTAGAAGGGGGGAACCAGTGCCACTTCCAAAATCCATGCAATCTGAGAACTCTCCAAAATCCAGGAGCTCAGACGGAGATCGCAACTCGTTGAGTAGGACTTCAGGATTGTGGGGATACAGAGGGCATAACTGCACGTAGATCACACAAATGTTCTCAAGAGGAGCAAACAAGTATCGAATTGAATGTCTTTAGTTAAAGATTTTGTGAGGAAACATGTAGATCAAACATGTGCAAAAAAGTAGCATTAACAAAGGACTAATTAGCATGTTATATCCATCAAATGGAATAAAAAAACCTATGGAAATGATACCACTCTCATGGAGCCAAATTACCTTGTGACTGCCAGCTAGTACTACAAAGGGGACAGCATGCCTTTTAGCTGCAAGTGCCACCATATTCAACCCAACAGGTGCTATAACCCCACCATTAGCCATGACAACATGGGCTCCAACTATAACCTTCACATCGCAAATTTGAAGATATAACTCAAAACAGTTCAAGAAGCTCATTTCAAAACAGGAAAGACTGAAAGAGTAAACTGTCAAATACCATGTTCACTCGGGATATCATGGCAAAAACAGCAGAGTCAGTAATCAGTGTGGTCTGTAGACCTCTTGTAACCAATTCTTTTGCAAGAAGATGGCCCTGATACCTAATTGAAACATTAAGATAACATCACAACGAAAACCAGAATAAAGAAAATGCCTTTTCCAATTAAAACAAAGTGGTCACTTGTCCAAACCTTGGAGCACCCTCAGCTACAATTACTCGAAATGACCTTTTCTTCTCCTTTGCAGCACAAAGAAATTCCAGCACTGTTCTTGAACTACCTAACGTTAATATCACTTCACTGAAAAAACAATTAATATTAGATAATATAACAAGAAAAAGGTGAAACTTTTGAAGGTGCATAAGTACATCAGAAGCACATGAACAGATATAAGAACAACTCAAATGCCGTTTACAATGAAATATGGAAACAGCACAAGAAATTCATAACGATGCACTTAAAAGAATAAGAAACAGAAAGAGTGCAAATGTAACCAAGCTTTTATATGTCTGTGGATGAATGAGATGAAAAGCATTCAAGGGATAAAGTCATATAAGCAAACAGTACCTCAATATTAAAATTTAATCAAAATAACCCAAGGCAACACACACATGCTTCTTGTAGGTTGATCAAAAAGTTCATAAAAGCACAAGAAATGTTTCTAGAAATATGTTGGATAATAAGGAGTTTTTAAACCATAAAAAATAAAGATTCTTATGGTGGACATTGTACTTATGATGTATATGCTCCACTGCTTGCTCAGCAATCTGATCATGACAAGTAACAATATCTTGAATGAGCTCATTAACTGCCTCGATTACATCATGCTTCAGCTTCCGGCTTCTTGAACTTTTATCAGCAGCTGTAGAGGAAAATAAACCCCTTAACTATAAAAACTCACTCAGTTTTAGTTCTAATGCTACAAAATTTAACAATTGCTACAGGAAATAGTGCCACGAGGTGCCAACTCCGGCAATAACAATTTGTCAACTACAACTAGTATCATCATCCTTCACAGAAAGAAAGATAGCAGAATTCAAATCTCATTTGCATAGTAAACACTAGCAAAATGAGGACACAAGAAGCACTAAAAGTTTTCAGTTTATTAGTTATGACAGCAATATGACAGTACAAGTAGAAGGAGACAATTTACCCCGCTGTTAGGAGTTAGTCTTTCCATGGTATAATATTCAGTAACTGTTCAACCCTTCCATGGAAACTAATAGTCAGTAATTGTCATCTCAAGGAATATTTACTCCAAATTCTGATATTACCAGTTGAATTGAACAACATACAGGATTGTGGAACCAGGGAGAGAAGAGCTCACATTTGCTTTTTCCTTCAGAATCACCCCCAGACGAAGATGTGTGAGGAACTGCTGCAGAGTCCGGTACATCCTCAAGAAGAGTTTGTAAGGAAGGTGGACGCAAAGTGCTTCTAGCGGCAGCAGCAAGAACAGCAGCCGATAGAACTGGTTGCTCATCTCCCTCAGCCCCATCTTCATCATCACTTACACCTGATAAGTTAAGTCCAGCTATAGCAGCATTTGTCAGGGAAAGATCCTCCTCCCGAATAATGTGCAATACACGTCGGACAATATTACCGACAGCGAGCTCTGCAATCACACCAGTACAATAACATCATATAACAAGAAATAACGAACAAGAATCAACCAGTCATGACTTCAACAACCCCAACTTCATAATTGTTAAAGAGTACAGGTGATATACATAATAAACTAATAAAAAAATTAGCATCATAGAATAAAATCTTGAAAAACAATGAAAAGGCATACCAATAGGATTTGCAGCAATTAACTGCTCCCCAACAGCTTTCACAGCATCAATCAGAGCTCCAGCCTGGTTTGTATAAGGGACTCGCGTTTGTGAAATCACGGATCTCAGCAGTTCAGCAGTCTGCTTTGCCGTTGCCTGAGAGCCCTCAATCTTACTGAGACCATGAAAACAAAGAATCCAAAAAGGACATCCTCAATATACCAATTCTCCTGAATTTAGCTCATAATCAATAATCGAGTTAGAAATCCTTACCGCTTTCTGAGCTTGTTGAGAAAGTCATTAACAAGGGATTGCGTATCCGGCATGATGTTTAAACCACTAATTTTCACCTGAAAATATCAGCAAAAAACATCATCCTTTCAGAATCTAATGATTAAGAGTAAAATTCTTCATTTCCTTCAATTTTCTGAGCAACCAAACATACGAGAAAATCAGGAGACAGAATCGTTGATGTGCTTACAGCTGAGATCGAAAAGGCATGCGATTCCGGAACGGAACGGAACGGAGCGGACAGGAGAGGAGAGGGTTTATGCTTCGATTCGATGCTCAGCGTAAAACCTCCTCTTCGCCTGGCACAGGAAATAATCTTACTTTTCGAGATTCCGGGTTTGCACCGGATCCGAATTCAATTTACAGACCCAGCTAATTATTTTTTTTAAAAAATTATTTAATGTTAGCCGCCCGTCTATTTCACGCTCACCGCCGCGTCTAATATCTCCAATACTTCCGTCGCCGGCCCGGCACTGTTGAAAAGTCTTGAATTACCTCTCCAAAATCAAATTTTTTCACTAATTAATGCAATCCTCTTTACTCGAAGGAAAAAATTTTAATTTTTCTAAATAAAATTTTAAATTTGAGTTTTTTAAATAAAAAATATTGTGAGATTTTTTTTATAAAATCTAAAGTAATTTTACTTTAAATTTTATATAAAAAGAACCAACATTTTCTTATTTTTCAATCATTTTTTATTAATTTAATATTTAAATTTAAAATTTTCAGCTTAAAATTTCAATATCTTAATAGTAACCGATATTTAACTCGTACTACATAAATAGATAACTAATTTTATTTTTTTTTTAAATTTGATTTTTTTAATTAATTTTTTAACATTTGATAATTATATTAAATTTTAATTAATCTAAAATTTAATTATATCAAACTCTATTAAAAAAATTTTAATATTTACTTTTTTTATTCATAAAATTTAATCTCAAAATTTTATTTAAAAAAATTAAATTTCTTTCTATTAAACTAACAAGTGGGCGGTGATAAGATTTGCTTGGCACAGGAGAAAAACCGTTGGAAAAGTAAGAAAATGGTACCAAAATAAGTACCATTATTAAAACAAACAGAGCCAAGCCAAGTAATGGGTCCCAGCCTGAAACTTAACTCATTCTTTCCTTTTTGTATTTTCTCGAGAAATTTCTCTCTCCTAACTTCACAAATCAAAACCGAACACCTCCCTCCGCTCCCCTCTCTTTCTCTACCCTTCTTTAAAAAATCTAACGGCTTTAATTTGAATTTCTCTCTCTCTCAATAAACGCGCACTTCCTGTCCCATTATTTATTACGGAACAAACACATAGACACCCATCTCGGATTTACATGATTCTTCTTCTTGATTAGGCGGCCATTTCCCACCGTCTTCCTCTCCGGTGGTGGCGTTAGGGTGTCTGCAGTCTTCGTCTCTTCAATTAATGAAGTTTTGATCTTTGATTTAAGGTAGCTGGCACTCCCCTTTTCTGTTTAGGTTGCCGGTTTTGTTTTTTCTGCTAGGATTATCAACTTCCTTTATGGAATATTCTAGATCTGTTTGATTTAGGGTTTTTCTTTTGAACATTTTGCATAGATTATCGAAATTCTCAACATTTCGACTGCATATTTGAACTTGTTTTGTTTCATTTGTAGGCACATTGTTCTGATCTATGTATCTGTTACTAGAAAGGAGGGGTCTTGTTTTGAACTTGTTTGATTTAGGATTTATGAGTGTTTGTGTGTTATGTAATGAAAGGAGGTGTCTTTCTTGTTTAGAGAAACGTAAATTATTGGGGTTTTATTTTTGCCCGAATGTGTGATCAGGATTATTTCCTTCATTACATACTCTTCCATTTTATTGTTTTGCCTTGTATGAATTCATGACAGTCTGTAACTTTGCTCTGTTGGTTAAGTTATTCACCTCCATCAGAAACCTTGAAGAACAAAAACCAGAAGATCCAGTGAGAAACAGGATTTGGATGGTATGTAAATTGATATTCTAAATGCTGGAAAGTAGTTTGAAAATAAGCTACCTTTAATTCAAACCCATTTTTAAAAATGAATACCGGCATTCATAAATAAAAAATATGAGTTTTTTGCTGATATCTTTTTTTCTTAAATGTAGACTAGCCAGACCAACATGGCTTCAGGGAATCCCTTTTTTGATGACGTGCGGATCAAACCTGAGGTTATTGATCCTCCTCAAAACGAAGACATGATGGATACTGAAACTCTGAATGATCCTACTCAAACAGCTATAAAGCCTAATTTGACCGTATCAAGCAGTGTTCGTGAACTGTTGGAGTGCCCTGTGTGCTTAAATGCAATGTACCCTCCTATTCATCAGGTGTGTTCATCTGCCACATTATTGACAATCAATTTCATAAATTTATTTAAAATTGATTTTAGCATGATCTTGTGTCTGCTGCAATGTTCCGCAAACTAATTTACTCTGAAATCTGAAGTGACATTGGTCCAAAAAGATAGTATCTCTTTCATTCCACCTTGAAGATATCTAAAAGATGATGCTTGTTTGAATTTTGAATCCCTTGTGCCAATCCCCTACTCCTACACAGTACATACATGGAACTTATGTACTATTCTTTTTCTCCTGGTTTGTGAAATTTAATTTTTTTGTTGTATTATATCCTTCTTGTGCTTGGTAGATATTTTTTAAAATCAAAAATAAATTTAACATTGTCTATCTGATAACAATTTCCTCTTCACTCGGGTGTTTCTTTTACCTTGCAGTGTTCAAATGGCCATACATTATGTTCTGGTTGCAAGCCCAAGGTGCACAACCGGTGCCCAACTTGCAGGCATGAACTTGGTAACATTAGGTGTCTTGCATTAGAGAAGGTGGCTGCATCCTTGGAGCTTCCATGTAAATATCAGAGTTTTGGGTGCATTGGCATATATCCATACTACAGCAAGCTCAAACACGAATCCCAATGCTCATATAGGCCATATAACTGTCCTTATGCTGGATCTGAGTGCACTGTCATTGGTGATATTCCATATCTTGTGGCACATCTTAAAGATGATCACAAAGTTGACATGCATAATGGCTGTACTTTCAACCATCGTTATGTCAAATCAAATCCACATGAGGTTGAGAATGCTACGTGGATGCTAACGGTATCTTTGCTTTCTTCAGCACATATTTTCTATCAAACTATGTGGCTGTTCTTCCAATCTTCTATTTGAGGTGTTAAAGAATAAATTTCTCTTTCTTTTTTGGAGTGGCTTATCTGGACTGAGTCTTGAAGGTTTTAGTTTTTCTTTATATATCAGAGCATTCTCAATAGTGGGTCACTGATAGTAGTTATTCAATTTCTAGGTCTTCAGTTGCTTTGGCCAGTATTTCTGCCTGCACTTTGAAGCATTCCAGCTAGGAGTGGCTCCTGTGTACATAGCATTCTTGCGGTTTATGGGTGATGACAATGAGGCAAAGAACTACAGCTATAGTCTTGAAGTGGGTGGAAATGGGAGGAAGCTGACTTGGCAAGGGGTGCCAAGGAGCATAAGGGACAGTCATCGCAAAGTTCGTGACAGTTTTGATGGTCTCATAATCCAACGCAGTATGGCGCTGTTCTTCTCAGGTGGAGACAGGAAGGAATTGAAGCTCCGAGTGACTGGAAGGATTTGGAAAGAACAGTGATGGGACCTATCTGTTCATGGTTCATGACATTTCATTTCGTTCTACTTCAGTGTCCTAGCAAGTTTACTCTTCGTAGTTTTGCAAGTCTTGTGGTCATGTATTTTCAGGATTGCAGGAGGCAAACTCTCTTTGCTCATCCTTGCATCAAATGCATGAACGGCAAGACTTAACTATTATGTCGATATGAGTTTACTGTCATCTATAGTCATTAATTAAATTAAACTCTATTATGATCATTTAGGATATTTTTTTTCTTCGTTTCGTTGGTTCCATTGTTGGATGTCTATTGTCCCCACTTTACCTTTCTTTGAGAAGACAAACCTATTTAGCTTTTTATAGATCAATCTTTCACACCACTATTAGCCAAAGCTACAATTGGAGAATATAATGTGTAGATAACACCATCAACCAAATGTTTGCTTAAAAACTCAAAAGAAAAAAAGAAGGCAAATCAAAGTTGAATGCCACCGCAAATTGCTCATAAAGAAGAAACAGAAGAAAGGGATTCCAAGAATCTGTTCAAAATCAAGTATTCAATTCCGAACAACAATAAAGCAATGATATTGATAATGTTTGTTGTATTTTGTGAAAACCTATGCCTAGTTGGGTACATATTTTTCTAATTACCTAAATGAGTCTCTTGGTGTATAATTTAGATTATTTTGAACTAAAAAATATTTTTTAGTTACCCAATTATGAGAGTTTTA